AATTCCCCAGTCAGCCTTGCTGGTTGGGGAATTCTGGAAGTTGAAGTCCACCCGTCTTAAAGTTGCCAAGGTTGAGGAACCCTGCTTTAGTACATAGAGTGGCACTTGAGTTTGAAATAAAAATTACTGGTTTAATGTGAACTCGAACATCAGTCCAATCAGTAAATAAATTAATTTGGAGTGCAGAATGCTGTAGACAGAGGAGAGAATATTTTGGTCATGGACCTTCACTTTTTAAAACTAACCAACGCATGTGTGGTTTTATTGTCATAGAATTCTGCTAAAAACTGCAAAATGCAATTCTTTGTACAAGAACCCCCATAAATATCATTGCACTGGCAAGTGACTTTCATCTAATGTTGAGTCCAAATTTTTCGAGGAGTTTCTGAGAATGCATTCGTCATATATAAATAAAAGAGTTTTTTTTCCTTTGTCCACTTAAATGTATTCAATTTAAAATTGGCTTTTCTGATTTTAGCTGAGCCCCACACTGATTTATTTTCTTCACTTCTTCATTTGTACTCTTGCTTCTCTTCACTTTGTTATTAAATTCAGAGACAAAGAAGGAATAATTGAGTGAGATCTCTTAACTTTCTATTTTTAAAAAAGGCTAGGGGAACTTTTGCAGGTGTTCCAATCCCCCCAAAATAATCTAATATAATGGAAAGACTATAATTAGCATTGAAACTTGGTTCTTTTGGTAGGGCTGGCAAGAATCTGAATGACCACTAGTGGCAACAAAGTGATACAGAAAACCCTAAATCTTTGTGCTGTCTAGTGGTTATATTGATATTTGCAGTCCAGGTGTGGTAGCCCTACAGTTCTCAGCAGACAACCAGGTATTTCTATCTTAAGTATCTGCATGCTTACCAAAATTAGTAGGAGATGTGCTACATTGCATTATTTCTGTTCCCATAGAAGAGAGTTCAGCCTTGTTTAGTATTCGGAGTAAACTGCAGCTTATTTCTGTTAAAACACAGATTGGTGATTGATTGATTGATTGATTTTCTTTATTTATTGAATTTAAATAGCCACCCATCTCACAAATGTGACTCTGGGTGGCACACACAATTAAAAATAATTCTTTATTGGGAATGGGAGGGCAATTCCTTAAAACTTGGCATTACAGATTAAGTCACTTGTCTATGAACATTTTGCTTATCAATAGAGTTTGCCTTAATCAAAATATTGGTCCTCATTTGTAATTTCCAGTAATTTTTTTTTAACTATCTCTTTCTCTGAGTAGCATCACAAATGAAACTTTCCACTAATTCATCTGTATTCAGGTAGCTTGTAGCCTCTTCAGATGATTATCTTTTTGTCAAAACTTCTTTTCAGGTACTGCTACTAACTACTTCCTGTACATAATGCTTACAGTAACAATATCTACATATATCTTTTTTTTTAAAAAAATGCCTTAATTAATTCTTAGTCAGTCTTTGCAAAGGATAATTTAATGGCTGGTTTCCTCTCTTTCTCCCATAATACAGAAAGAACAAAACTTAATTCTCCTTGTGGGAACTGGAACTGACTGTTTAAAGGTCAGTTCATCAGTAAAGGTGTAGTGTGCATTAAGCAGGAAACAACTGCAGCAGAAGCTTTTACTTAAAGTAGTAGGAACCTATGTACCTATGCTGAAGGAAACTTTAGCCACAGATATAGGCATTGCTGGAAGATGCAGTGTGGGATATTATGGAGCTTCATGTACTATAGCTGTGGTGGAGTTAGAGTTTTTTTGTCCCCTTTGCTGTCATCTAGTGGTCAGCTGGAGTTTTGCAGCCCAGATCTGGTGGCCCTGCATATTGAGCTCTGTTCAGGTGTTAGAAAAACATCAGGATCACTCATCACGTGAGCATTCCTGATAAGCATGTTCTAGGTGACATCATTCGGATCATATCAGTTGAATGCATGGATTTCCACAGGATACAATCGTGTAGGAGAGCTGCAGAAAATCCCTGCATGTGTAGCTCTTATGCACAGTGTCATACATGTGCTCGTGCATTCTGGTTCATGTTGAAACCAACGCTCTTAGAGAACTACACTTGAAGCTTTTCTCCTGCAGACATCCATGTGGAACATGTCATGCTTGTCTGGAAGCAGAAATAATTTGAACAATGTTGGCAGAAGGGAAGCTCCAGGATAACGCCTGAATAAAGTTTAAGTGTTATACACATTCCCTTTCTACTGCTCTAAAAGCATCCCAATTTTTTTGTGTTACCAGAAATCTGGTGGGAATTTTCCTTACAACTTGGTGTATGATCTGCTACCTCATTCATTAGGGATTTCCAATCTTGGAAGTCCCCAAACTACTCAGACCCCACCACTTTATTTCTAGATGGGCAAAAGGAAGAGAACAGAATTTTCACTTGAAGAAATGTTGAGTTTCCTCCTGTGGAAATCAGTGGGAGGGAATTAACCTCTGCAGAATCCAGGTTTGACTGAAATTAGAAGCTAATTTAGAGAAATGTCTGTGGGCCTGGGAAATTCAGTTTCCCATGGATTCAAAACTTTTCATGGCATACTTAGAAATCATCTATTTTCCCCCATTTATGATATCAGAGCTCTAATGTAAGAGAGAGAAGGGCCACAAGTCAGAGGAATTATCTGAGGTGGGATCTTCCCTTGCAAGGTTGGATCCCTCTATCCTCCTCTGAAAAACAGTTCTGATCCTCCCTATGACCTCCGAAATTCTCTCCCAAAGATGATAGGATTGCAGCAAAAAGGGATAATGGCACCCAACCTTAAAATTCTCCCTGTGCTTGGGTCTCACTCTTCCAGACTTTAGGAAAAAGGCAAAACGATCCCTTTCACCAAGCATTGAACAGTTAATTGATTGTAACTGTCTTCAAAATATTGATCATCATTTAAATTGCATTGGTTTTAATGCTAGGTTTTATGCTTTGTATTTTTGGCAACAACTGTAAGTCGCTTGAGTGTTTAGACAAGCAGAAAGCAGGAGGTCAGGGAGTACGTTTAGAGGTGAATTAACTAAAATGATGAGAAATTCCAGAAGCACCTGAGAAATTAGAGTGCCCACTGGATACATAAACAGCTCCATGTTGCCATCAAAGAGATTCAGATGTGTACGTAGTGGAGGGAAGATGTAAGTCTTAATTTATTTCAATTCTGCATTTGTTCTGAGTGAAGATGATGTTTTAGAAATATCTGATATGTATTAGACGCACATTAGTGACCTCCTAGTAATTAAGCCAGAGATTTGGAGAAAACCCTTAGGGCGTGTTTTAGCTATGTAGTCTGTCATATTTGTCATCTGATGAACATTCAGAAACCAGGCATTTTTTTTTTCCAGGAAAGGGAACACCATATTTTGCAAATAAATGTCTGATTTGTCTGAGTTAGACCTACATCCTTGGCATATGTTCATCGTTGTAATCCTAATTCAAACTTGACACAAGGAAACATCAGTGAAAAGAGGTAGTTGAAATATTGAAATTTGGCCCTACATATCTTTGGGGGGGGGGCTGACTGTATGTGAGTCTTAGAAATGTGCAAGGCATTTTGAATGCAAAGCAATTTGAATTCCAAACACCCCATTTTGAATCCCAAATGCCCCCTTTTGTGTTCTGAGGTGAAACACACCATCTCACTCATTCTGGAAGCGTTTACAATCCAAGACAGTTCCAAAAGGATTGAAAAGTCCCATTTTGCTCTCAAAACAGCTGCCACAACCTGGAGATTGGGCATTTCAAAGCCGGGGTATACCCAATTTAAAATAGTATCCAGTTTAACATTGGAACAATATACTTAATAGTTTTGTTGTGGGGAGGGTACCATACCATCAGTCCCTTTAGTGAAAAGATAGGGGTACAGGTTATAGAAATAGTTGGTGAGATGAAATGAATTACTGTATCTTGCAAATTGGACATTGCCTCTCTTCCTTTCTCTTCTGAGTTTTACTAGACTCGGATTTAACCATTCTTTCTCATAGTAATTGGATTTACTGTTAAAAAGAGGTGTGTTGTAAAAAAGAATTAACATATGGA